TACACCAGATTTTCATGTTTTATAGCTGTTGCTGTCATTGTTCCCAGTTCGTCTCGTTGGATTGTTCTGAAGTGTTTGATTTTAGGTGTCAGACATGGTTGTAGTGGCAGGAAAAAAGTATAAAATTGTTAAGAAGCGGACGAGGCGATTCACACGCCATGAGTCTGATAGGTATCACAGGTTGCGTCCAAACTGGAGGAAGCCGAGGGTATGTGTAGTTGATTTCTATAAATGCCTGTGTTTATTCCTTTATTAGGGACTGGTGTTCGGGCGCTTAGTCTGATGGCCGCTTTGAAATATGGGACATTTACTTGCCACTTTTCCTTATTTACTTTACTTGCTTGAGCTAGTAAGAACAACAGCTCCGTCAGACTCAAGGAGAGTCACGGAGCTTTTATCGTTATCCTGTGTTTCTGTACTTTTTCTTTCCTGCATTTAATGCTGGTCATTGCGAACTGAGTAATTACGGCACGAGAGCTTTCATATTTTTGGAGAGGTTCATCTGGTTTTCCTGCATATTTCTTGCTTGATCTTTTCAGGGTATTGATAACCGAGTTCGTAGGCGCTTCAAGGGTCAAAGGCGAATGCCTAAAATTGGTTATGGTAATGCCGCTGTCACCAAACACATGCTTCCCAATGGTCTGAGGAAGATTGTAGTCCATAAGCCTAAGGTAGAATTTAGCACTTATATTTTTATATTATTCCTTTATATAACATTTTATCTTACAATTGAGATGTTTTCATACTGCTTTTATATAAATTTTTCGCTTTCTATTGCGTGAAAAATTTCCTCGTATTCCCTCTTAGATGTTACAGCGACTTGGTTTTTGTAAAAGCATTATTGGATTTGAAAAGATTATTTAATGGGAGCTTATCATTGGTGAGGTTTTAATTCTGTAACATTTTTCAGGATTTGGAGATGCTTTTGATGCAAAACAAACGTTTTATTGCTGAAGTTGCTCACAGTGTTTCTTCAAAGAAACGGAAGGATATCGTAGAAAGGGCTCAACAAATGAACATTAAGTTGACCAACGGGAACGCTCGTGTTCGTTCTGAAGAAAATGAGTGATTATGAAAATGTTGTTTGGTGCTCTCGTTCCAAATTAGCTCAAAAAATGGTGGATTTTGTTGCTGAGAGTAACTTTATTTTCAGCAATAACTTGAAAGAGTTTTAATTGTAATAAGGTGAATTACTTTCTGCACCTAAAGTTGTTCTTTCTTTTTTTGTATACTGGAGCCCTTGTTGTTGCATAAAGCTGTTTATCTGTTTTTGAGGATTTTTGGTTGGTTAATATGTAGCCGGAAAATCAAATAGAGTGCGATTTTCACCATTCAGTCGTTATTTTTTCCGAACGGTTCTCAGATGAGTTACTATTCAGTGCATGTGGAAAAGTTAATGGATTTCAAAAAATTTTGAAAGTTTTTTCTTTAGTCATAGATCTTACAGAATTTTCTGCAGGCAGTAAGAGAATCACTGAGTAATTTGAACGGTGCTTGATTTCATCTGAGTTACTCGTCTTCGATCTGTTTTGAAGGCGTTATTATATTTCTCATTTGTTATTGGTTTGTTTTGGGGATATCAGAGGGAAGTTTTCGAAGTTTTGCTTTTCTATCACTGATGGTGAGGCTAAGAGTTTAGCGGATGGGTCGTTGGATTTGGATTTTCTTGCAAGAGTTTTAAGAAAGATCGGTTGTTTTGTAGATGAGACGTTCACTACCACTGACTTCAGATATTATTGCTGAAATGGTTTTTTTAAATTTTATTGTGAAGACGCAGTTTAGCCAGAGGTTCTGGTGACCTGTACATTTTTTAACGTGTTCGAGAATGATTGTCAATAGTTGAAGTTTC